ACATACAAAAAGTTCAAGATGTTGTAAAATAATCCTCATAAGTCATGAGGATAAAAGGCCTGCTTAACTTGAAACCTGTCAATTTTCCAGTTTCATAGTGATTTCCTGAACATTTCATGTTTGCAAAAAGTTAACAGTTTTTTAATGCTATTTCATGTGCTGTCTGATGTTTTTTTCAAAGCAATATAATGCTTGCATTTGCTGCTTTATGGAAAGATATGGAATGCAATTCACAGCGGGGACACCCCCACGCTGTGGGACATCCCCTCCCACACCTACCCACACACACTCTCTGAGCAGCCCTCAAAAATAATCTGTTTCCTCCAGCTGCTGAGAGCGTTACACACCAACCCCTGCACACACACATGTCGGCAAAAAAAACAATATTATTTATATTTTTTTACATCAAAATACACTGCTTCAGTCCTTCTGCTCTACACTGTGACCTCTCCACTCTATAGAAACTGAGCTCAGTGTAGCATCTCACCACATGCCTCTCTATATGAGGAACTGAAACACACACTACAACATTATCCTGAAAATGAATCAATTTGCAGCTCAAATGATGAGAGATGAGAGACTAACATCTGATATTTCCAAGATAAAGAGCAGGAAGGACCTAAAGAATGTTCAGAACTGAGTTAAATGTAGAATGCTAGGTAGGCTAACAAAGCTAACTTAGCAGAGCAGCTGTGACTGCTCTCTCAGCTATTAACTCATGGACTTTAGTATTTATATCTACAGAGTGTAAATTAATCAATTAAATATTATGTTGTATGGGGTTCAGTGTCTTGCCCAGGGACACTTTGACATGTGGACTGCAGGCACTGAGTTTCAAACCTTCAACCTTCCAGTTGGGAGACAACTGCTCTACCCACTGCACCACTGTTGCCTCCCTGTGTTACCCGTGTCTACCAATGGTCTCGGGAAAATAACAGATGGTTTGGGGCCATTTAAGGTCACAATATAGAAATGTTGTCTTCATGGACCAAGTTCAGAGTTACTCAAAGAGTTTCATCATTTACTCCGGTCACCTTCTCTCAACAAAATGACAATGATTGCCATTGTTTTCAAACCGCACTTGTCGACTTCTTTGTTTGACCCAGGGTGTCATAAAACCTTCATTGTGGCCGAGGCTCACACCCCAACTGAGCTTCATTGAGAACATATTTGAGATGATGTAATGCGACCTTAGCGGTGGAACACTGTGCATGGACATTTATATTTAGTCCAGCAGTGGGTCATGGGACTATGGATAGGTGCATACCAAGTGGACAAATATGGCCGAGGGCCACCAGTGTGTTGTCACTAGAAGGAACACTCAGAATACATCCAGTCTCAAGTTATATATGATGGGACTGTTGTCTTAGAAGTAAGAATTACCTAATTTTGCTAAAAGTATGTCTCGATTTTCATTGAACACACTGGAATCGACCAGTGGCTGCATGTTCAGTAAATCATTCTGGCATTTTGAGGTGCTTTATGTCAGTAGAAAATCCATCAATCCACATAGTGGATGTCAAGATATTTGAATAAGCAAAAACTTTAACCAGTTTTTAGGGACCACCAAAAGATCCATCCTCTGGGGACCATGAATATCTGTACCAACCGTCATGGTAATCAACCCAACAGCTGTCCAGGTATTTTACTCCCAAACAAAAATGTCTGTGGTGCTACAGAAACAGTCCGGAGATCACCACAATCAGTCAGCTTCATAGTCTGGGAACAGGGAATATCTGTACAGAATTTCAGGGCGATCCATCCAAGGGTTGCTGTGTACATCTCTTGAGCCATGCTGCTGGCCAAAACAAACAAAAAATTTTGTTTATTATGATATAAATCAGGGAAAAGAAGCAAATCATCTTATTGGAGATGATGGACCCAGAACATACTTGTCTTTTTGGTTGAATTTATTTTAAATTTTGCCACAATTCTCAGTAGAAATCCAATGAAACTAGCCACTGCATCTGCACTTGAAAAATATCAATGGGTCTAGATGAAAGTAAGCTTGTAAAATCATCAGGATTCATCCACTGGTGGATTTATCTAACAGTTTCTGAGCTTTTTCAATTTGGACCGAGATTGTCCAGCTGGCGCCTCTACCTTTGGAGAGTCACACTGCACGGCCAAAAACACAGAACTGTTCCATTTAGTATGATTTAAAGTAGGCAAACGCATATTTAGCGTTGTTTTATCATCAGGTTACGTTATGACACCTATTTCTATGAGTACCGTATTATAAACTTCATTATACCTCAGAACTACAAATTCCCCCGTTTATTTTAAATTACGTGTTGTTGTCAGTGGACAGCCACTGGAATCTGCACTAGTCACTGCATTTCCAGTAAATTATGCTGCGTCTTCAACGCATCGCTCTGAGGCGATTGAGGTATTTTTAGCCCAGTTTTGTCGCCTAGTCTTGTGTTCCTGTGTGTGGTTCAGTGTATGCCACAGCTCAGATGCACTGACAAACAGAGGAGAGTGGAGGCGTTTACAAAAAGCTGCCTCCGTGCCTCAGAGAACTAGGTCTGAACAGCTCATCACGAGTGGCAGGTCACCGATGAGCCAGCTTGAGGTGTATAAAAAGCACCCTTGTCTGAGCATTATTGTTTGTGTAGGAGTGTGTCTGGGTGCAGGGGCGGAGTTGCAGCATGTGAGATGTTGATAATTAAATTGATCTTCACCTCAGTTTGACTTTCATGTTTGATGCCAGTTTGTTTGTTAAACCCAGCAAATGCTAGTTATTTCTAAACAATACTGTAGAGTCTGTATTTTGATTTATGGCTGCAACTAACAGGTATTTTCACTGTTGATGAATCTGACTATTATTCTCTTAATTTCTCAATTATTTGCTTAGTCTATTAAACACTAGGAAGTGGTGAAAAATGCCCACTGCAGCCCTAACGTTTTTATTCACCCAACAATCAGTACGACTGAAGGGACAGCAGGTCCCGTTGGTCAGTCTGTCACTTTGGTCCAGACTGGATATATCAGCAACAATTAGATGGGTGTTAGGTTTCCTACTGACATTCATGGTCCCCAGGGGATGAAGCTTACTGACTTTGTTGATCTCCTGACTTTGCTTCTAGGCCCATGAGGTTGAAAATTGTGATTCAGAGTGAAATGTCTTAGCAACTACTGGATGCATGTGCTTTTTAAAAAAAATGTGGCTTGTTCAGAGATCTAACAGCGTCTAACTGGCTCCCAACAATGCCACTGTGTTGCATGGGCATATTATGGGAAAATGGGCCCCTGGGCAGAAACATGTAAAGGGCCCCCACCTCTCCTACACCGTAGGAGCAAGACTCACAGATTGAGCAACCATGTGATCAGTAGTGAGTGTGTCTTCTTGTGGTTGTTTTGCATCTCTTTGTAGTTGTTTTGTGTCTGTTTTTGTTGATTGGCCTACTTTTTTAGTTGTTTTGCCGTTTTGTGGTCTTTTCTATCCCTTTTTAACCATTTGACATTTTGCATCTATTTTTTTTCTCACTTTGTGGCTTTTTCATTTCATTGACTTTCTAGTGGAAAGGTTAGCAGCTTTTTGTTTACAGTTCTCTGGTGTAGGGTCAGGGCCCCCCCCCCCCAACAAAATACAAATACATTTTATTATATAAATCATTTAACAAAACAAATATGTCCTTATTTGGTGCAATATCAATGTTTTATTTGAATGTTTGTGTTTTGTCTCTGTCATCAAATGTGTACACCCAGTTTGTGGCAAACCTCTTCATTGTCTTTTACATATTGGGTTTTCTAGGCTCATTATTTGTACAGAAACAATCAGGAATTAAATCCAACATCAACAAAAGAAAAAAAAACAAGGGTTAAATTAACAGTTACTGATAAATTTCCTGTCAGTCAACAAACTGATTAAATGAATAATTTCTACTATATTCCTTTATACTACAGGGATATTATTGTGATACCCTCTGCAGGTCAGTGCGACACTTTATTTCACAGGTCAAATAAAGTCTCAAATACTTAGCTTTTTTAAGAAACTTAAAGGTAATTGAATTTATAGGATGTTTTCAGGAATGAGCTGTTTAATTTAGTGTATCAGTCATGAGAGGGAAATAGTGGAAACGCTGCCCACTTGATTCATTTGCAAGAAGCTGATTTCAGTGATTTTCTGTTGAGAGCCTTTGTTCAGAGCACAGCAGGTCAGCTGAGCCCACGAGATGTGAGATTTGTCAACATTTGTGTAGAATTAAGTCTACTATTGAATTAAAATGAAAGACCGTTGAGTTGGGTATGTGGGGAAACTACTCTGAAGTACTCAGATCCCTTACTTAAGTCAAAGTAGCAATACCACAGTCTAAAAATACTGTTACAAGTAAAATTTACTGCAAAATATTACTTTAGTACAAAGTATTAACATAAAAACATACTTAATGTGCTAAAGTAAAAGTACTCATTATGCAGAATATTGTTTAACATATTATTGAATTATAATGACTGATTATTGTGTTGCCTTACTGTGTACATCACATGTTATGTTGCAGAAGGTAAAGGAGGACCTACTTTTAACCAGCTTATATGCTTATGATTTGAAGTACTTTACCTACTGCTGTGCAGCTTGTGAATTTTCCACCAGAGACCAATAGAGTGACTATATGATTATGCTGTAGTTTTTGTATTAATCTGGTTCTGTAAAGTAACTAAAGTTATACAATAAATGTAGTGGAATAAAAAGTACAATATTTGTCTCTAAAATGTAGTGAAGCCAAAGTATGAAAGAGCACAAAATGAAAATACTCGAGTAAAGTACAAACACCTCTAAACTGTGCACAATTACAGTACTTGAGTAAATGTAATTAGTTACTTTCCACCACTGGCAACAACTGCTTAAATATTCAAACGCATCTAAATCAACTGTGTTATATACTACATTTTAAAAGTACCAAAGGACGTCCTCAGCACTGATTAGGAAATGAACGGGCCTGTGCCGTAATGTGTTACCGGCTGGGTAACATTCAGGTACATGTTGCCTTTTGGTTCATTTTGGTACTTTCGCTTTAAATTTTCGGTCAATGAAGACGACGTGGAAAGTGCCAAACTAAATCCAGCTCCCTGTGTTTACCTAAAAAGGAGCTCGCGGTGCAGGATTACACGATCCCCAGTCAGGATTGGGTTGGATCTACCTGTCAGACGAATGGCGTTGTTTGTGCTCGGGGGACGTTTGCTTAAATGTGCAACTGGCATTAAGACAGCAATGACGGCGCTGCGGCCCTGCTGGTAACTGTTTTCACGCTGTTTACATGCTTATGCACGATCGTAGAAACACGGACTTCACCCAGTAACAAACCAGGAAATGTCTGCTCTGCCTTCGAAAGGCCTGTTTTATTTGAATCCACTAGGTGGTGCAGTATGTGCGCTGGCAGTGCACTGTGCACGAAACACTGCTGCTGAAATTCGTGAAAACTGCGGGGAAGCACCCAAAGTGTCCCTGTATCACTGTTAGTAGTAGGTTGTGTGGGTAGCTGGTATTCGTAGCCCTACTGTTCTACCGTATATTTTAGTTTAGCATCCCAGCAGTATATGTTATGTTAACACGAACAAAAAGCCTTGTATCAAAAATAGTAATAAATAAAATAAGTTTTGAAGTTTTATTACATAAAGATGGTAAACCACTGAAACCATTCATCCCCTTTAGAGTTTGGTTTTAAAAAGTCCTCACAACTGAATGTTCTCCAAATATAAATAGTACTTATATTATACAACTATGCTTTTCAAGGTTTGTTTTCACTAGTGGAAAAGGTGTGATAATTGGTCACAGCTAAATGTTGTAGCTGCTTGTTTTTCTGTCAAGATGACAAAGTACATTTCTTTTTATTCAATTAACATTTATCGTGGTTTCCTGGGTGTATATGTTTGCGTCAGTGATGGACAGACATTTAGAAGATATACATTTTTAAAACTCTTCTGACCATGGCCCCATGTTGAATTACCTATTTCCTTAACACATATTAACACCCTGCAGAACGACCAAAAGCCTGCAAGATCTTAGCGTAAAGGGTTTAAATGGTTCTGTACAAGGGCATGTAAAAAAAAAAAAACCAAAGGACACAATAGCATTGCATCTATAGTAGACCCAGACAAAATAACTGGAACAGTGCACAACCGTTTGCTCCAGTCCTTAAACAAACAGCTGTGTAATATTTTTATAGGTCACAGGTTTTACTGTGGCTGTTCACACAGATTTCTCTTCCAGTCTTTTTGTGTGTTTCCTTGCAGCTCCTCAGTGGCCTCAGGCAAGCAGCATATTAATGGAGTGGACCTGTACTACGAACAGAAAGGCAGAGGGAAACACGCTGTGCTGCTGATTCCCGGTGCTCTCGGTAAATACAGCAGCACTCATCCAAGACACTCTGTTAGTCTTTGAGAATGCAGGATCTCTTTTCCATGTCCTGTAAGATCATTCAGGTTTCCATATGATGGCATCCTCGCAATAAAACCATTTTCACCTTTGGTCCCACAGGAAGCACAAGGACAGACTTTGGTCCTCAGCTTAATTCTCTGAACAAGGAGCAGTTCACTGTAGTTGGCTGGGATCCCCGTGGGTACGGACAGTCCCGTCCCCCAGACAGAGACTTTCCCTCTGACTTCTTTGAGCGAGATGCAAAAGATGCAGTGGCTCTGATGAAGGTATGATCATCCTTTTCAACAACTCATGATGGAAGTGGACGATTACCACAGAGCTCCCCAGGGGCCCTAGGATAGAAAGAAATATGAGTGTGGACATCCAGGGCACAGATTACTAAATCCTATGCACAGACTGATAAGTGTTTATTAAAATTTTATGGGGAAACGTTAAAGCAAGAGTGCTTGAACTTGCCCCTTGCATTCTGAATCCAGTTGATGCAGTAGTTAATGGTCATACTAGCTTAATGATTGCATAGACAAATAACTGGTGACAAAACATTAGTAACATTACTAAACACATTGCTAAATACTGTACTGTAGTTCTCTCATCTCACAAGCATGGCTAAACTGATGGCATGGATAACAACACATGGTCTTGGTTTATATATGCATGCACATAGTTTAGCACTCTATGCACACATAATATTCTCTACCACCACTGCAGCCTCCATAGTTTACCCTGTACAAAGACGTTGTGGAATCTTTTGGGGGGTATGTTTTCTGAAGGTAAGTCACCTCTGTTCATTATTTGGTGCATTTGTTACATCTGATACAATAAAATCTAGATTTTGGCTGCAGCAGTTGTGCACAGAGCGAAACTGCAGCCAGTGTCTGGATTTATTCTTCAACATCCTCTCTCAGACTCTCCAGAGAGGTGACTCGTCCCCCACTAAGCCTCCCTGAATGCCTACTGTCTCCTCAGACTGTGCAGTTACAGTAACTACCATACCGTTTGTTGGTGATGTATACCATGTTCCTTTTTTTGGCAGGCTTTGGGTTTTGACAAGTTCTCCCTGTTGGGGTGGAGCGATGGAGGGATCACCGCTCTGATCGTAGCAGCCAGGAACCCCAGACTGATCAGCAAGATGGTTGTGTGGGGATCCAATGCCTTTGTTTCCCAGGATGACCTCAAGCTTTATGAAGGTACTGCTCCACTTTTCATTAACTGCCACCTCAGTCGTAAACTGTGTGAATTGTGCATGGTGTAGTATTTTTTGTTTGTGTGCATATTTTTTTTGTGTGAACACCCAGCGGTCCGTGATGTCTCCAAGTGGAGTGCGCGGATGAGACAGCCAATGGAGGAGGTGTATGGAGCAGAAATGTTTGCTAAAACCTGGGAGGGCTGGGTGGACGGGATCGCACAGTTTGCCCACAGACCAGAAGGTGATGACCTCATGCGACTACTAAAAATAATCCTCAGAAATGATAAAACCAGACTAAAACATTGCAGTTACAATTTCCTAAATTAATTTTTCCTTAATTAAGTGAGTAAAACATATGGGAAGTAAATCCGGGATACTCCTTCATTTTGTGTTGATCTGCTAAATGTCATCTGAACTTAAAAAAGCCAACATGTTCAATTCATTGTCCTCTGGTTAGGGAGCATCTGTCTGGAGCTTCTGCCCCTGATCACATGTCCAACCCTCATCGTCCATGGAGAAAAAGACCCCATGGTGCCCAGCTTCCACCCACAGCACCTCCTCAAACACATCAAGGGTTCACGGTGAGAATGTTCACATGCAACAACAGCAATATTGCCATGACCCTCCATTTATGACATTTAGAGTGGGAGATGTACTTAAATAAAACTTCTGTCTCAAAATTTAGATTGCATCTCATGCCAGAGGGAAAACACAATCTCCATCTGAGGTATGCCAATGAATTTAACAGACTGGTGGAAGACTTTCTGCAAGAGTGAAATGACTTCCTGCAGCATGAATCCCAGTTCATTTCAAACATTTACCTCAAGAAAAGCCCACAGTATGATTGTCTGTTTAGATTTATCTACTTGAATGTTTATTTTGAAAATTCTGTTAATTTTTTCTTGATTAAATGTTTTCTAAAGCAAGTAGGTGAGTTTATTTTTGTGCTAATCTTGAATTTGAACGCATAAGTGGATGTTAAAGGGATTTTTCACAACACAGACAGACCAGTTTGTTCCTACTAGTGGCTCTGAACAGACGAACCATTAGAAACATTGAATACTCGTTATTGTAGCTACTGGGTTTAATTTATAAGCCACGTAGAAAGTGGCACAAGTTATTTTTCATATCTTATTTTTATATAACGAGCGTCAAATCGGTTGTGCAGGTTCGACACATCCCAGCTATTCATGATCGATTGCTTTGGGCTGCCGGTTTTGTTTCACCAGGAAGTTGCTGTTTGTTTTTACAGCTAACACGAGTGTTTGCTAGTCACAGCTAGTAAGAGTTCAACAAAATGACGGAAACACAAAACGGAGAGGCGTTTGACGCTATTTCGGTGCACAATTTCTCAGAGAAGATTTTGGAGCAGGTTGTTCATTTCCACGTGATGAAGCTGAGCGGCGGGTTTTTCCTCTGGGTCGGTTCGACTCCGGTCCTGTCCAACTTGGCGGTCTCGATGAGCAGCAAATATGTAAGTAAAACACACACAAAACTTAATGAATAAGCAAGAAGTGTAACATGGAATTTGTAATGTTGACTCACAGGGTCCCCTGTGTGTGTGTGTGTGTGTGTGTGTGTGTGTGTGCGCGCGCGCGAGATGGATAAGAGCCTCAGTATCTAAAGTGCCTAAACCTTTGCTCAGTATTATATGTAACACCACAGGACTGAATTGAAAGTCTTGAGGTTTAATTCCTCCAAATCGCAATAACAACCTTTCTTTGTCTAGTAACTGACATTCATAGGACACTTTACTGTACATAAGCTTGCATTAACGTATTTTAAACAGTTAACCTGATTAAAAGGTTGCTCTATCAAACTAGAACTAGAAAACAGCAGGCCTAGAGATGTTTTTTGAAGGAATTTGCAGATATTTAATATTTAGGGGCAGGATGTTCCATATATGAATTATATGTGCTGTGATGGAGGATTTTTTTCCCCTTATTACTCAGCTCTGACATCCACAGCTATGACAGCTTCAGAAAGCATTCAGACGCCTTCACCTTTTGCAGTTTATTATGTTGTCAGTTTAAATTTGAACAGACAAGATTTTACCCATGAATCTACAATGGTAGAAGAGACTAACGGCTATTGTTTTGTGTCTGCAGGACTCTGTGCCGTTATCTACATTAGTCATTGGGGATCCATCCAATACTGCTCCAAATTCTTTGGCACAACGACTAGGTAACATATGACTTATAGTATTTATCTTGGTGTAAGTAGCAGCATACAGTAAGTCATCTGAAAGTTTAAATGTGATAATTAAAAGACAATACTGGCATTTATATTTAACAGTTCTCACAATCCTGCTGTAGAGTTTCAGGTTTTTGGATTTGAGGCACCAAATAGACTCCATTTGTTTAAGTACACTTGAAATGATAACTTAAGTTTGACAGAAATAAACACTAGTAAATAGGCCAAAGCATAGTCACAGAGAGCCATTTATTTTGCATCTCCACAACTTCTAAGACTTCAGTGTACTACAGCAAGTGATGTTGTGTGCAGTCTAAACTCAGAGTGTTGTTCTCTTTCTGCTTGTTTCACAGCGAAGAAGACCAAAAAGCAAGTATTTGTGAGTTACAGTCTTCCGGTGACGGACTCCAACCTTGGTCTGCTGGTAGAGAACAGAATCAAAAAGGAGCTGGAGCTTCACCCTGAACACTTCTGAACACCTTTAATCCTTCAATGAACTTCTTCTGAGGATGTCCAGGAAGTGGAACAACTAACAAGCAGCATGTGCTTCTGCTCTTTGGATTTGTATGCTCCTTCACAGACACTGTAGTCCAACACAGTAACCACAAACAGGCACATCAAGTTTTCTTTTATTGACATAATAAATTAAGTGGTTTATTATCAAAACATGTAGGCCTATGGCTTTTTGTACAAATGCATCATATTAAAAAATACAACTTAGAAAACAGCATTAGTGGTTGAGTTCTTTTTTCTTCTTCTTCTAGTGTTTAACTGTTGAAAATGTACAAACTACCAAACCACGCAGGGTTCAAAGTATACGCTGTGTACTAAATGTGGAAAGTTGAGGATGTTTGAATCTGTGTGCTCAAGTCTGTTTGGACAAAAGTGGTTTATGGGATGGTTTTCTATTCAGCGTTATTATGTAACAGTAAAGTTGGTGGTCCATGCATCATGAATGAATGGCACATGTATAGAGACCTTACCTTTTTATGCAGTCCTGTATAAAATGTACACTAATCACAACTATGGCAGGTCTGTGCAGACTGTGCTGCTCTATTCTAATCTTCACAAAGGGTTATGTTAAAAAACTGTAAACTATTGTGCTTTCTGTCTAGAATTACACATCCTAGGAGCAGGATTACAACATTACCACAGTACAGAGAACAAAGATTCAGAGCTGCAGAGGAGATATTTGCTAATTACAGAGGTATTTCAAACAACAAAATTGCCCTTGGCAGCATGACAAAGTAAATACTGATTTTTCTTAAATTACATTCTTTGTTTTGTTAAAACAACAGAATCACCATGATAAAGCCGTTTAAATACTGAGAGGCATCATAAGACATACGGAAGAACGCACTAATGCCCATTCAACTCTCAGATTGTTCAGCATTACCCACAGTCTCCATAGGCTACACAGGAAGTCTGCCGAGGTCTCCGGCTGTTCCTCACAGGGACAGCCATCATGCACCCATACCAGCAGCAGTACTGACCTCACCTGGGAGAATAAAGTGCCACACTGGACTTCTCATAGAGGGACCACAAATAAATAAGAAAAAACATGTAATTTGTGCCCTTTCATGCAAGAGTGGTAGCGGTTTAGACAGTCCCTGGAATCCCCATGTGTTGGCTGAAAGTCACAAACACTTGATTGTGTCTCTGACATTTAGTGCAAAATAAAGTCTAATATGCAGTGAAATCCTCTTTCAACGAGTCACAACTACAAACAAGACTCACAGAGCACACGCTACTGAAAGCTAGTCTGCGGCTTCTCCTGCCTGCAAGTCGCTCCTCACTGAGCGGACGGCAGAGAATCACCAGCACCACTGAAGGTTTTCATGTTAGTTAACACACACTGACTTCAGATTAGCTTGGTATTTTTGACAACTCCTGAATGAATCATAATCACTGCATCCACTCAGACATAGGCTGTTGTTACCATCTCAGCCACTATTGTAAAAGTTTATCTGGTTGTTTTTTCTTTTTTTTTTCACAAATTCACTGGCCACTCAGTCGGGTTAATGCTAGAGCAGTTATTAGCACTGTAGTAAACTATTGCTTGATGGTCACACCCCATTGGCTATGGCACGGTTTCCTATCGCCTCCCCACCTGTCGCGAGGGCGTACGAGGCAGGTACTGCTGCCAGAGCGGTGGCTGCTACCACTGTAGCGCCCCCAGTGGCTGAGAGGTGTATCAGCGTGTCATGGACACTGGAGTAGTCCCTGTCACTCTTGGCAAGAAGGAGATGCTGCTCTCCTGGATGGAGCAGGGCCTGACGGGTGAAGGTCTCTCCGTCAGCCAGGCTCTCCGGCAGGGCCTGGCCCCGTGGCTCGGGCAGCAGTAGAAGGCAGATGATGCACAGCAGGGTGCAGCAGGCGAAGATAACGTGATGCAGAAAGTAGCCCTTCTGGTTGTGGAGCTCCATGATGGGTGCCGTGAGCATGCCGAAGCCAGCGCTGGCCAGAACCAGGCCCAGCCCTCCACCCCTGCACGCACAGACAGAGAAAGAGAGACTGTGGCAGATCCATCACCAAGGTATTCTGATATCACTGAAAGTAAGAGGGGCTCTTAAAGCACCGGCACATGTCAAACAGTGTTGTCAGATTGTTGAATAGCACCTGAAACCCTGAGGTGGAAAGTAACTAAGTACATTCACTCAAGTACTGTGTCTAAGTACTTGAGTGAATGCTACTTATACTTCAACAAAAATACTGTACTTTGCACATTTATTAGATAACTTGTTACTTTTCAGAAAGAGCTTAATAATATGTAGTATAATCATGCAATTTATTGATCCTTACTGTAAAATTCACAAGCTACCCAGCAGTACTTCAAATTATAAGGATACAAGGTAGTTAAAATTACCTCCACCTTTACCAACTGCAAAATGAAATGTGGATGAACACAATATCTCAATAATTTGAATGCAATAACAAGATGCACATCAAGATAAAATGTGTCATTTTGCATAATGAGTATTGTTGGTACTTTGTTTGGTGCTAATATTTTTGTATTTTTACTTAAGTAACATTTAAAATTCAGGACTTTTACTTGCAACAGAGTATTTTTACACTGGTATTTTAAGCAAACAATCTGAGTACATTTTCCTCCACTGCTGAAGCATCACACCCCCAACACCCACAGTTTGTACAGTTCATGGTGTCTTGACCTGCTCTATGACTCTGCTCCCTCAGCTACGCAGATAAGGATCAGGAATGAAAACACAGATGGACACTTTGTGAATTCATCAGAGGCATGAAGAAACCCTTGTGGCACCAGGTGCACATTCACCTGTCAGACAACTTTACACCACTAGATAGAGCCAATAAGCAAGTTGGGGTCCTGCGGATTATACAGAGTAAGCTCTCTACACTGAAGGGTGGTTTCTAACATGTGCTTGGTTTTTCACAATAATAAAAAAGGAGCACAAGAGGTAGACGTTCAGTCCTTGGTGGCCAATCATACTGAAAATGTCACATGGTTGGTTTTGCAAAGTTGTTAAACAAATAGTCAAACCACCCCATCTGATGCTAGAAATGTTTGGCAAGAAAGGGTTTCTGAAAATATCTGACAAACAGTTAGGAAGAAATATAAAGCCTACTTAATTGCCAGAGTATATTGGTACTAACAGGAAATAAAACAGAGTTTGTTGATGGACATCAGTTAAACTTTGGAACCCCAGTTAAGCTTCTGAGAGAAAAGTGAAATATTTTTACACGTTTTCCCACTATATCCCTGGAGCTATCGCACCACCATGTATTTTTGCAGCTGGTAGTAGCTTCTTTATGTTCTTTGCAGATTTCATTGTGGGAAAACAGTGAACATCAATGTCAAAGAGTCAAATGCATTTAGACTTTGAGGGTACTGACGTTTGTCCCTTTCCATTGTGAACACACTGCACACCCCAAACCTGCTCGGAATTAGCAGGTAGTATGGAATTAAGACATGTACTATTCTCTATAAGATAAACATTCAGTATGTTTTTGCTCTCGTGTGATATCTGGTGAACACCGTGTGGCATATTAATCTTACACTATGTAGAATTTGGAGTCTCCAGTGAATTGACAGAATATAAATGGGGTGTGCTATAGGTAGCAAATACTATGTCAGATAGTCTTGAGGTCACTTACTGTGCTTGATCTGCTGCTGTATGTGCACATGTAATAAAAAGAAAGAAGACTCCCCTCTGTGTTTGACCACCCAGGCTCACCTGATGACAGTAGGAGTGATTTCGGCACAGAAGAAAATGCTAAGGATGCTCACGGCATGAGAAGAGAACATGCCAATGATGGAGAAGGCCACCGAGAATTTCCTATTGAGAGTGTCTCGCAGAACTATCGAGCAGAGAACAAGAAAATGTAAGCACACAATAACACCCAGCATAAAACAAACAGCTACTTTAACATAATGCTGAGTGCTAAGAAGAACATGTCACAGGCTGTGAAACTGGCTTACAGCAGATACAACTACTTATAATCTTCTGTTTCACTGCATCATTTTATGTCACACATCACCACACTGCAGCTGTACCTGTGTCGTGGCGAAGGCTGTACTTCCCAATCACTGGAATCCATTAGGGAGCAGCGGAGAATAGACGAGAGGAGAACGTGTCATTAGTCAGCACAAAGGGCAGCGCAGTGCTGAGTCAGAATGAGCGGAAGGAAGAGTTTAACACTGAAGCCTGAAATAATGACTGCATACTGCAGATGTAGGTCAGGGAAGGTCAGAGTTTCCTGTTAGAGCTGAAATGCAGGATGTAATGTTTTAATGCAAAGTGTGTGAGTAGCTACTGCTGTTAGTGTTACATTTCAACTTTATGTTTGACCTTTGCTAAACATTCCATCAACTAGCAGTTTGTCCAGTCATATCTAAACAGGTCTGTCAAGCTTTGGAGTGCTGGTCATGTGAAGTGCGCTGCTAAGATTAAAGCATCAGCCAAATTGTTTTCTTTCCAAATTAAATAGCAGCAAAGCAAATGTTAAAGAATGGAGGAACAGCATGTTTGTCAGCTCTAAGGCAAGATGCTAATGTTGACATACCTGGCTAACCAGTTTATTAACTTGGCTTGTAACCTCATAGACAAGAAGAAGCTTTATTTTAGTGTCATTATAACATTGTGGCACATACAACGAAATTTTGTTTGGAGCCGAGGGCCTCAGGCTGCTGCGTGCATACATGCCGCCATCACAGGCAACTTGGGGGGTTCAGTGTCTTGCCCAAGGACACTTCGACATGGGGACTGCAGGCATAAACAAGATAAACAGATGGTAGTGCTGGTTCTCCAGTCAGGTGCCATGAAACCACTGAAGAGGACACAACATGATGGCACAGGCTAGTCAAACTGGTCTCAAACAATGAAAAACAATGCCAATGGAAAAATGGCATTCATGTTTGTTTCATGTCTGAATGTGAGGAAGGGTACAGGCTTCTTGTTGCTTCTCTCAGATCTGATGTTTTCATCTGCCACTATTTTTCGTCTCTGTAGGTTCCATGCTTCATGCATTTCATGGTTTCTTTTGCACTTTGTTACATTCTGCCCTTGTTTATACAACAACTTTTCCACCTCAGCCCAGTGTAAAATCTTTTTTTTGAAGTATCAGCTCCATTATTTTTATCTGCAAATAGAAAATGTGCATGACAACAGCTGGGCACAAATGCACCAGTTTTAACCTGCACAGTTTCCAGAATCCAAAGCTTGACAGTTGTGCAGCAGTAACTAGCAGGGCCAAGTTGTAAACAAACTAAGGCTCCTCCTGTGTGCTCTTGTGATTACTCACAGTTGAGTAAACCCAGCTGTAGGAGTGATGCCAGGGCTGTTATGATCATGAAGGTGAGTAGCCCTCCACGACGTCCCATCAGGCCCACCGCAGGGCAAAGTGCCAGGCAGGTTGCCACAGCGATGCCAGCCATAGTGTAATAGTCCGCATGGCACAAAGCGGTGGGCTGGGCCTCTGGGTCCATCATGCTGCGGGCGAAGCAATGGTGGATGCCATAACCTGTCAGACTGTAGAAAGACACACAGAGAGTGGAAAGAGGGGCGGGGCCAGAGACATGCATGTGCCACGGGGTAAGTGAGGTTTGCGCTCGCATACATGTCTTCTCTCTGGGGGACGAGCTCATGCGTAATTAATGGTCTCTCAACACAACGGACGTTGGTTTTGAATGACAATAAATGCACTTACGAGTTGACACACAGCACCACAATGTTTTTCCACAGGTTCCTGGTGCTCATCACCTTGACGATGCAGGTCCTCTGGGGTCTCTTGTGCAGCTCGTGCTCCAACTCTGTTAGGAAACATGAAATGCACATCTTGAGACCTTTCATTTCAGGAGGTGATGAGAGACTGGCCACTAAGGGATCTATAGCACTGTGAAGCCAATGTGCTGTGGGGCGTTTAGATAGACACAGCACATCTCCTTGGCCACTCTGATAGTCTATCTGTCTCCAGGCCACTGGGAGAGACAGAAACAATGATTCAAACACCACACCCGGTGAGCAAGCAGTGCTGGTGGCAGAGAGAAGAGAGATGTGCAAGCTGTATTTGAGGACTGCACAATTCAATCAATTATATCCAAAACCGATTAAGCGTATAAGTGATTTAAAACATGCTGCCAAGAAGCAAACGGAGTGTTTCTGGGTTTTGGACTGTTGGTCAGAGAAAATTAGTGTTTTGAAGGCATCACCTTGAGCTCTAAGGAACTATGATAGGTATTATTTTCTAACATTTTATAATGAAATGAGGGATTCTCTAACAAAACTGTTAATGGCTGTCCAACATAAAAGTCACTAAGTTAGTTGAGAAACTGCTTGCAAACCTTTTAAAGGAACATGTACAGTATATGTTTGTCTGACTGCAAATGCATTTCATCAGATGAACGGGCTGGGAAACATTCCATCACACCGAGAAGCAGCTGCAACATAACATCTAGTTAATCATCCTCCTGAAATCGTCTTCACCTGTAAGGACTCCACTGGGCTCGGTTGTATCGACCTGGTTCTTCTTGATGATGTACAACATCATAGCTTTGGACCTCCTGTAGTGCTGGGTGGCCAGCAACCAGCGCAGTGACTCGGGAAAAATCCTGCACAGAGAGATAAAGGGAGGGATGGAAAGCAAGTGGAGAGAGCAGACAAAGATGGAGGAGAACAGAATATGTTGTGAAGGCAAGAAGATTCAGACAGAATGGGGAAGAAGAAAAACAATGAGAGAAAGAGAGTATTGTTTGTAAGTCGAAGCAGCTCAGTACTGTGTAGTGCAGAGTGTACTGTACAAGCCGTCGCCTGGCTCAGTGAGAAAAAACCTGCCCCCCCTCCTGTGGAGTTCCTCAGAGGGTGGGACTCACCAGACGTAAGGCAGCATCAGAACGAAAGGACTGATTATGACAATCTGCAGGACCTGCCAGTCATCCCGGTCCGGCCAATTACGGCACAGAGCGGCCACCCCTGGCATCAGTAGCTGCCCGCCCACCATCAGAAAACTGGCCACCATGGTCATGGAGAAGCGCCAGCCTGGCAAACAAAGCTCGATCCCTAAAATAAAGAGACGCAGAGTAAGGGCTGGTTTCACAGAGCGTAGAGAATCTTGTAGTGTTGGAGCACCAGAGCAGACAGTAACAGACAAGTAAATTATGTATAAGCTGTGAGCGAGTGCATGTGAATATAATCATAAACTAAGCTGCTCCCCAGAAGTGTGATGTGTGTGCTTGTTTAATGGTGGAGCCAGTATTGAATTTCCTCTGAATTATTGAGGACAATTACTGATCCTCCCCCTGAGACCACAGTAGTTTCACACCAGAACTTGGACTGTGCATCAGTGCTTTTGAGGGTTCAGCTGGGAGCGCCCCACCCCCGACCGCCTGTAACATGGTAAAGTCCAGATGGCCCGGTCCATATGGCAAAGTCCTGTTGAAGGTGACCATTGATGGAGGAGGGAGGTGGGTGACTTCCAAACCTGACCTCATGTACTGTTACATTTTATTGTGGAAAAGAAGAGAAGCAGGGAGGACAGAAACACGAGGGAGAGAAGAAAAGAGGAAGAGTAGGGACAAAATGCAAATTACTTTTCAATTCGAAGGACAAAAAAATCCTTTCATTCATCAGTGGAATCACTGGAGGAATGATAATAAAGACAAGCAAGAGAGACGGTGAGATACTGAGACAAGAAGAGGGAAGGAAATAATAAATATAGAGATGATGGATTTTCAACTATCAGAAAGACGGGAATGATTCAGGCAGAGCACAATGTAGGAGGACTGAGAAAAAAAATAGTTTGATTACTAGAAATCCCTTCACCGTGTTTATCTGCTCTCCCAGGTGTACAGTTTTAGAATTAATGTCTGCAGGAAGCAAAACAGATGAAGGAAATTACACTAATTTACAATCCTTAACCTGCACCAGCTTCTTTCTCTTCAGCCAGAATTACAAGTGTATCTCTCTCCCCCAGTGGTGGAGGCAGCATTCAGTAGCAATACCACAGTTTAAAATATGACACATCAAAGCCCACCTGTTCAAAATGCTGCCAAATAATTCCAGTTTATTACAAATTGGTCCCAAATGCAGTCTATTGGTTATAATAACATTGTACCTATAATTATTGCAATGTGCTGCTGAGCATTTTAGCATCTTTTGTCTCATTGTTATAGGTTTAGAGCCCAAAGGAAGTATCAGTCCTGTGTGGCTTTCAGTCAGCGAGTCTTGATGAACTCGCAGTACCCAACCTGCCCAGCACCAAGCAACAGGGAGACAAAGTTACCTACTAGCTGGTGAACAAAGTGGAGTGTTACATGGACGAATTATGAGACACACAGACAGGTGTGTGGGCGCAGTAATCAACCCATGGTTTAGCAGCTAAAAACCAGATATTTTTCAGCATTAAAAAAATTAAAACCAGAGCTTAAAAGAAGCTGCTGTGGCAGGGCAGCTGTAGCTCAGGGCTAGAGCAGTCGTCTCCCAACCCGAAGGTTGGAGGTTTGATCGGCGGTGCCTGCAGTCCACATGTCAAAGTGTCTTTGGGCGAGACACTAAACCCCAAGTTCCCCCGATGGCAGAGCAGGGTCTTGCAGGGACAGCACTGACATCGGCGTGTGAGTCATGATGGCTGCCTCGGCTCTGTACTAGAAATTCCTTGTGTGTATAACATACTTGGCCAAATAAAGTGATTATCATTATCGTAATGAGTGCTTTGCTGTTTGCTATATTAACCATAAAGACTTATTGCGCTGCTCCAAGTGGCAAAAAAAAAAATCAGTGAATAGGGGTATAAGTTGTATTTTTGCACACTGTTCCTTATAAGGTTAGGTGTAAATATGTATGTCAGTGTACACTACAAAAAGTAAAATAGGAAGATTCTGTGAAACCACAGTTTTTTTACAGTCTGTTCTATATACTGACTTCAGGTATTTTAATATAAAACAATTCTTTAAAACTTGAATCTGTAATGTAAAGCTGTAGATAAAATGGAGAAATAAATTCAATACTGTCCTTTTAAAATGTAGAGAAATACTGCAGAGTTATTTTTCACTGATGTTGCCATTCCTGTGTGGTCTGACAATCAGCGCACCACCGTGTCTTTGTGGTACCTCTGTCCACAACAGCCACTAGGAATGGATCAGGCAGAGCCGCACACACACTAACTACAGAAATCAGCTGTAGCTTGACAAAGGCAGTGCATCACTAAACCAACCTCAAAAACAAAAACCACTCCCCAACTCTCTGGGGGAAGCGTCTCATCCCAGTGGCTCTACTGGGATCTCACACACACACACACACACACACACACACACACACACACATTGGCAGGGCCCTTTTGTTCCAGCCGAGTGGGAGAATGGTGTCTCTTTGTGCTGATTATCTCACTGCCCCCTGTGGGCTGATCCTCCCGCTCCTGCCCACTCTTCCCTTTTGCTCATCAGGGCTGAAGTGGCTCTCTCACCCTCTGTAAAGCCACCATCCCCCAACTCTCCCCACCATCCTTACCCCCTCCCTCCTCCTCCTTCTTTCATCAAGCAGCTTCTACAGTTGCAGGCAGTTTGTGAAACAAAACAATAATGGAAGAAAGGGAGAGAACCGCAGTCTGTGTATGGGGAACTGGTGACAAGAAGAGATCAGCGCTAAGATTTGTGAAAAGAGACCTAGAGCCGAAACAATTAGCCGATCAATCAATTAGTCAGCCTATGAAAAGTTAACTGAGGCACGCAGCAGCTCTGTGAGGTCGTCCTCGGGTACAGCCAACTATGTTAGCATGCAAACAAAGTGCAGCTCAGAATGCTGGGAATGTTTTACAGTAGTTTTAGTCCATTGAAAGCTGTTGAAACATTTCACTCAACCCACAAATATCAAACACGTGGTGGTGGTAAACACAAAGCCAGGAGATTGACAAAGTCGCATATTGTGTGGAAACTGCAAAAACAATGTCTTCACAAAATTCTGTGGCAATTCATTCAGTAGGTTTTGAGATTGGAGCTGAAACGATTAGTTGATCAAATTAAAGTTTAATTGGCAACTGTTTTGTTAACTGAAAAACGGATAAAGTAATTCTTTAAGCAAAAAAGCCAAGCACTGAGGGTTTGAGATAGTTGTTGGGATATTTCAATCTGGACCAGAGTGGTAGACATGACCAACTGACCCTACAGACCAACATTTCAGCTGTGCAGCGTGAGCACAGTTTCACACACAAACCTGTTGATCCATTGTTAATATAGAAATATTGATTATACAAGTCTGTACATGTGCTCATAGTGTCCCTGCAACATAGTCAGATCCACTACTTCCTCCCCATAGCTCTACAGTCTGATTGTTGGAACATATTGAGCCTATGACAGCACTCGTTTATGCTACAAGAACAATTTGGCATGTTCATGTGAAGACTTTGCTGTTTTTCTTCCCCACAGTGAAACTGGGACTTTGTTGGAATTAAATCCAAGCTGACTACAGCTGCTATCCTCAGAAAAGAAGCCACAGGAGGTGAGTTTTTACTATACAAAGACTTTCAGTAGTGTAAAGATATACCTTCTCTTCCTCAACACACTTTTAGGAACGCTTCAGTATTTTCCAGAATAGTATAGACAATAGACAGTCATGATTATAAGGTTGCAATTCATAAAGTATCGTGTCTCAAACGAAAAGAAAAAACAGGATAAAGCTGTGTCCCAGGGTAACGTCCAGCATAGCTGCTACACTGCAAACTAATAAATCCAGTAAATTTGGTGCAACAACCAACTATGCAAACAACACACACACATCAACACATTTACATTAACAGAGCAAACTGAAGATTATGCTGGCAGCTTCGGTGGATTTATTATGCACTGCGTGCTGCACTGAGATAGCTGGGCAGTTTCAAATGAGCCTGGAGAAAAGTAGCAAGTCAGGGTGCTGGTAGTAATAACGTTGGTGGGGAAAATGGGATGAATGGGGCAGATGACCGTCACGGGATATAGAGTGAAAATGGAAAGGACCAGAGAGCTGAGGGTGAAAGGAAGTGGGCAGAAGGAGGGTTTCTGTGGGGAGAGTGGAGCGGTGCAACCACATACATACACACACACACACTTACTGTGATAATGTATATGTGTGCTACATGCTTATTTTGTGTTTCCCTATCTCGTCTCCCTCCAGCTGCAGCCTGTTTAGGAGTTGAACTCATTCTACAGTAATATTCCTCGGCTGTGTTTAGACATGATTCTATGCTGCATCACAGTTTTTTGGGACAGTGATGTGTTTTGTATTATGTTGGCTCTGTATTGCATGCAACAGTGACTCTGTGTCCAAACGCTGGTTCTCCACTTTAATTTAAGGGTATTTACATCCATAATGAGTGTGGACATCTGGGACTTTTTAAACACAGTTTGCCATTTTTAGCACAATGCTGCACCATAATGAATCTAAACACAGAGACAAGGCAACCAAGGAAACAAGCAAGACATGAGGCCAGCTGTAGAAGGCCTGGGAAAGCATCACCGGGAACGATAAAATATTTGCTGGTGTCTGTGGGGCAGTTTTATAGAATACTTATACTTCGTTATTAGCCCCAGTGAGTATATTTTGGTTACTATCAGTTAACAGTAATATTGCTCCGATCAAAGAACACAGTGAGCAGCAAGTCGAGACACAAGCAGTCATACAAGCCAGGGGTTTTGTCAGAAAACTGCTTCTGCATCACTGTATTTTGGAGGTGAAACTGAAAGAGAGCATACCTAAAATGCTTATTATAATATCTTATTAACAACTAGTACACAAGTGGGTGAAAGCTGAACCAGGAGGTTGATTTGTTAACCGTGAATGGATATTTATAGCGGATAATATTTCAGCAGTTTGCCTCTCTATTCTTTTCCAAACAAGACTGGTTCAGGTCTTGCTAAGTTTACCACCTGTCTAATAATCTGACTGCTTGTCAGTCCAGTCTTCAACCGCTATGGATGTGAACACCTTCAAATTAAAGCTAAAGATCCGCACTTTAACCTTGTGGCCATTTTTTTCAAACCCAACGTCTTGGAGTGCAGAGCCAGCACAACAAATGAGTCACTGCCAAAATGCTGATTGACCGTTTCTGTCCTACAGGGTAGAAAGGGGATGCTACTGCATTTCTCCAGAAAAACAGTGAAAAGAGGAACACGGTAAAGTAATGAAACCTTTCACACTGTCTGCTCTGCATCTGTGTTGTTGCCGACTGGGCTTCATGTCGGTGTAGCTCCTATGTTAGTGCAGTGTGTATTCAGGCTTTGAGGATGTGTTTATTTGAAGCTTCACATGTCTTCATGATGCGGCACGCGCTGTTACTCTACATGTTTTTACTGTGTTATCTGCTGTCACGGTTCACTTCAAAGGAGGCGACTGAATGCAGCCTCGCCTCGTGCAACCAACCCTTCAAAGTGTGTGCAGTCTGCTCTCTCACACAAAGAGCAAATACACACTTACTTATCCCATCACTGTCAACTCTGAACACGCAAACAAGTGAAATATGGAAAAACTGCCTCCTATTACCAGGACTATGTTTGGTAAACAGACTGTAAGAACAGGATCAGAATTAAGAAAGTGTGAGTGAGTGAGTGTCTGTGTGTGACGTGAGCGAGCAGCTACAGAGGGCAAAGAGGAAGCGTGCACTGGATTTGTCAAGCATCTAAGGATGTAACCAACAGGAAAAGGATCCGATGGCCAAGCTAGAGTTTTAGGCAGAACAAGAGGAGCAGAGATTTGACCTGAGATTCGGGTGCATTCATGCCACATTGCAGTTTCCTAATTGCTGAGAAAATTCGACTTTTCTGGAAGCTCCGATATTCCCGACATGGTTCTTAATAATAAAGACAGAACAATAAAAAACTGCACTGTCATATCTCAGCTGTTAAATAAATAAATAAATAAACACACCTTAAATGTCATAATTGTAATATTATTGATTTATGTCAATTAACCACGGATGCTATATTCTAAACAATGTGTTTCTATAGCAAACTACAGTAGGAACTTTTACATAGGTGTTGCTGCATTACTGTATCAAAACGTATTCATATACACGTAGTAGTGTATATAATAGTTACCTTGATAAACACAAGCCTGAAATTTAAATTAAAGCTAGCAATTACATGTTTTCCTCAGGTTTCCTAAATATTCAGCCATTATCAAGAAGCACTTCAAAAAGCAAACATCTTTTTGTCGTTATAAGAGAATTCTAGTAGTTTTGCCATTAGCTTCATCATTATTTACATCATATTCTTTGTAATGACCACAGTTTTCTGTGATAATCACTGAAATTCTCAGCCCTAACACCGCCACTCCTCTTCTGCCTCAGTGCCGTCTTCATCCTCCTCACCGAGACTTTCTGCTCTACATTCACAAGTGTCTGTGATTTGGACTTAAAGGGTCACAAACTACTTGCATTTTGTTTGTGAATTCGGCCCTCAGGACTCTCTGGGCAGGCGCCTTGGAGGCATCCATTTTCTTTGTTTGTTTTTAAAAGCAGTTCAGCAGAGATTATTAGGAATCCCTGCTGAGAGGAGGGGACCCGGCCTACCGCTCAGACTCAGTCTGCCCTCACTTCCCACATCATGTATGACTAATCTCTCACTGGTGTGAAAGAGATGGGGCGAGAACGTGAGGGCCAGAGGGGGGAGTAGGGAATTTCTGGTCAGTTTGTCCCTCTCAGGGTTTCACACCTCTGGGGCATTAGTGCAAATAAACACAATAAACAATAGAGCAATAAAGAGGAAACCCAGAACAGCAGATAGAAGAAGAGCAGGTGGGCACAAGGAGGTGAGAGCAGGTACTTACTGAGCACGTAGAGGGAGAGAGCGAGGCCTGCCAAGCAGAAACCCTCAAAGAAGCGCAAGGTGCTGAACATGGTGACGTTCACAGAGAAGGCAACGCTCAGACCAAACACCAGCATGAAAAGCACTGAGAGAATCAGCACTGGGTGTCGACCGAACCTTAGAGACAGAGAAACAGGCAGAAAGAAATGCACGGCAAGGTGTTGAGAAAATGTCACAACCTGAAAAAGAAGCTGTTGATATGCAGGCGAGTGAAAGAGATCAGGCATTGTTTCCTTCAGACTCTGTGGACTTCCTGGTTTTGGGGGGGGTCAGTAGGCCGGAGGGTCGGGTCAGAGCTGAGGCCTCGTTGGCATGCAACTTTCTTTACATTGTTTCTATGGTTACTGATCCCAAACACAATGCAGGGGCTTTTTCCCACGAAGCTGCAGACATGGCTACAATGAACTCAACTTAAAGGGTCATTTCACTTTTTATACTTTTCATCTCCAGTTTCTTCTGCAGACGCAGCACAGCTCGATGTTAAAGCTGTTTTTTACCAATGTTCAGACTATAGCGCTCAAATCATTGTCTAAGCTGGTGGTGGCTTCTACACCTACCACCTGCTTCCTGAACCCCACACAGACAGGAGCCCCAGCCTCTCTCCATGGTGTCCCTGTTGTCCTTGTCTCTCTCTCACCTTCTGTGTGTTTGTTTCCTTTCTCCTCTATGTGTGAACATTGTGCTTCATGTGTTCATCTAGCACCAGGAAGTTGCTCGACGTTTTCCAGGATCATATTCTTCATTTATGTTTATAATCTATAATTCTGTCATCCATACTGTAAATGTTGCTCTGTTTTTTGGATGACTTTTTCCACATGGCTAAGTGCAGGGGGTGTTGTTTGCTGTACAGATTGTAAAGCCCCTTGAGGTGAATGTGTGATTTGGGCTGTACAAATAAAATGGGACTTGGCTTGACCAGGTCAACATTGGATCAGAAGGTTATTCTGTAAATTGTGGTGAGCATTTGCAATGAATAGTTTAGCTAATAATTTGGCTGTTTGCTTTTGTTTTCGCCTCCCGATATGTCTGACTAACCTGGGGCTCTGTGTCCAACCTGTCTGACCATCTGACTGCTTTGTAGCAGTGTTGCTGTGTTCCAAGACCTCGGCTGTTCATTGGTGAGCATGACCTCATCTTAACCTGTAAACATTATGGCTAAAACGGCCCAACAAAGGTCTAAGTTGAGATAAACTAAAATGACCCTTTAAGATAAACTAGCACACTAGGAGACAGAGATGAAGGAGACAGCGTACCAGTCAGCCATGACACCCATCACTAGGTAGCCAAATATGGAGCCCACCAGCAAAGAGAACTTGGCAGTGTGCACCTTCCAGGCAGAGTCGCAGACCAAGTTCCACTGGAACAGACACAAAGAGAAACAGAAGAACATTAGGCAACATTTTCAGGGAAACCCACCCACAAGATAAGAGGATATTAAACATTAGCAGAGGAGTAGTTTTAATTTGTAAGCTACATAGAGACAAAAAGAAATGTCTATCAAACTCCTGTCACTGACTCACTGTTTGGAAAGTTCATGAAGGCTAAGTGCGCTAACACGCTACAGACGTTTCTGAAACATTCAAATCTTGAAAAGAAACAAGGCAAGCATATAAGTGTGTATGAGAGAGGAGAGCGGTGCCTGTGTGAATGTGGGTGTGTGGCTCTAATAACAGGAATCAATCGTCTTCCCACTCTTCCCTCTGAGCCCATGGGTCAGTGCACACACACCACTGCAGCTCCAGACACGTGGAGGCATGATGTGTGTACTACATACACACATGACCCTGAAAGTGTCTACAAGAGCCCAGTGGGCAAATTCAACTATGTCTGAAAATAGCGCACATTACACACACACACAATGGAGCTGGACCATAATTCAACATCTGTATTGGTACATTTCTAGTACTCTGGCACAGCTGCCCACTTTGCCCAGTTGGTAACCCCACCTGACTCAAGCTGGGTGATTGTGTGATGTAGTACGTGAACAATATATTGTTTTGAACATCCATTTGGTTGTTTAGAATTGTGGCTCTCTTTTGCCATATTGTGGTATATAAATATCTAAAAGTACTTTTATTGGTAGTTCATCCATGTCACCACACATACTGCACAAGCTGCAGTACATCCGTCAGCCCTGTTGGGACTTGGCTGAACCAGGCTGTGATGATGAAGATGATGATGGTGAACAGTGATTTATTTTTCGGTTAGACCGATAACACAGTGGGTCTATTTGGTGCTCGCTCGTTACCTTGGTAACCACATTCTGACTAAGTCCCGTGTGCAGCTCCAGCTTCCACTCCTTGCAGGCGCACAGCGTACCGTCGCCGGCTCCCTCCCCGGCGTCGTTGCCATTGAGATGCAGCGCGGGCGCTCCTCCGGTGACGGTGACCGGAGGGGACGGCACGGTCCAGTTAGCCTCGTTCGACAGGGGTTGCACGCACGTGCCATTCGGTTGTGCCAAGAGAAAATAATCCGAAAACTGGCTAAAGCCAATGAACAATGCCGGTATCCAGGTCAGGACCACGAGCTGCTTCTGATGTTTCCCGAAGCCCCCCAGAGACGGCAGAACCGAGCCGTCGATGTGCGGTAGCAGCCGGGGCGCTGGGTTCTCCAGTGAGGTGAAGACGTTTTCGGGAGGGTGGTCCTGCGCCTCCGGCCGGCCGGCTGCCATCACGGCCCGGCCACAAAGAGCAGCTTGGCGCAACAGCGGGTGGGTGAAGCAAAGCCCCCGTTCTGCTGCCGCCCGCGCAGTCTGCTTTAAGACCTTTGGCACAAAGGAAGCACAGAGCGCAGATAAATCCCGTGTATACCCAACAAAAGTCTTATCCAAAAATACTGGTCTCCGCTCAGTGCAGGCGTGCAGAGACACCGGATCACCGCACAGTCGCTCTCATGGCGAGGAGGCTCGAAGCGACCAGGGGATGTCCGAGTGGAGCGGCTGTGTCAGGAGGAGAGGGCTGTGGAAAGGCTCCCGGGGAGGAGTGGACTCCGATAGGCAGGCATGCTTCCCGGCTCGGGCTTTATATTCCATGAGTACAGATCCTACAGCGGGGTCCATCCATCTGGAAGTGAACTGGGCCAGGCCTGATGGTTGTATGGAGGTGAAATATAGAGCTACATCCACACTGGGATCCACTAAACATCTGTAGGTCCTTTATCCATGACCGCCACAGATCTCATACCTGCCCAAACAGTGACCTCCTGCAGGTGTGCATCACTGAGTCTCTCAAGCCCAGAATACCCGGGCTCCCATCATCACCGGTCCACTCGGAGGTTGTTGCGTTAACAAGCGCAGCACAACACGATGCTCGTGTTGTCGTTGTCTAGTCAATGGAACACGGTGCCAAAGCTAGGCTTGGAGCGGGGATGGGGAGGGTGCAAACCCCGCCCTCCCTCGGTAGCGCTATGCGCTGCGATTGGAGAGCCTTCAAAGGGCGACTGCACCACTGACGGGCAACTGCAAGCAACAATGATCCCCTTTGTGCAGCCTCTGCCCTCTCCACCGAATTTAAAGCGTGTGAGAATCACTGTCCTTCACGTTTTCCATAGATTCCAGATGATTTATGAATCGAAGATTAAGTGCAGACGAGGTTTTTGTGAGCGCGGTTTGGGATGAATCGTTGGCTGAACGTCCCGACGAGGCTGTTTTGCGTCATACAGTAGGATCCTTTCATAACCGTCATATAAATAGACGGGATTAGTTACTGGTTTGTCGAAGGGAATGTCAGGGTTTTGGGATAATATGTCGCCTGTCCGCCGCTAGGGGGCGTCAGACGATCACAGTAGGCCTCCTCGTCCTTACATCAGTTTGTCTTTCTTAATCAGTTCATTAGCGTTAAACTGTAGGTCACTCGGTTGACTTGTCAGAGATGCAGTAAACCAAAGGAGTGAGATTTCAAAGTTTTGAAATATGACTGTTGATGCAGCTGCTCCCACCTCACTCTGTGTGAGTGACCTTGAGACAGGTTTTCCCTGTGTTGGTTGCAGGCACCATAATGTAGGAGGACGTGTGTGTGTGTGTGTCCTTCAGCTGTGGGTTTGTATTAACGTGATCCCTGAATGACATGGAACTGCTGTGAAGGGTGCAGCTGACAGTGTAGCAGAGAGGTGACAACTTGTGCTCAGAGCTCACTCCTCTCTCACCTCCTGCCTCACCCCATCGTGCTCCTCCTCAGAGACTTGTTAAGGTTTAAGATGGAGGAGGCTGAGAATAAGTTGAGAAGGCTGCGTGTGCATGTGTCATCTGCTGCAGTCTGCCAGCCACACCCTCGTTTTACAGCACATACCAAGCGTAACCAGGCGTTCCTGTGGCCCTAAACAATGTGAATAAAACCTGACAAAAACATAATCACTTACAGCCTTGATAAAAGAAAGTTTAGTGATGCACCTTTGAATGTTATTGAGAGCCCAATGTTAAGCTTACTAATGGTACTAAAGATAAATGTTGTTGAAAAGGCCTATTTTCAAAATTATTCAAAGTTAAGAGAGGAAATTATTCCATTATTCCTAAACACCAACAGCTCCAAAAAGTTCTCAGAGCCACAGTTTGCAGCATTGTGTTGCAGCAGCAAACCTTCCTGGGCGTGGAAGAAAAAGCAAATTCCTTCAAGGATGTTTGAAAACAGCAGCTGAGAAAACCCCTTGCATGGCTGCCAAAGACATGTAGGAGGACCTGAAGAATGCAGGAGCAAACTTAGGAAGAACACCGACAGGGCTACAGCCCCAGAATCCTTGCCACACCCCATCCTTGACCAAAACACACACAAAAGTTAACTTGAATATCCATCCATCCATTATGTCCCTGCAGATTCTCAGTCATCCAGGTCATAGTAAGCTGAAAAAGGTTAGGAAAAAAAATCAACTGGACTAGATTTTTAGGTCGAAGACGTTTCACCTCATCCAAGAGGCTTCATCAGTTCGCCAGTTAGGCAGAAGTGATGTTGAACAGGGTCATGGGGCCTGGAGCCAATCCCAGCTCACACTGGGCAAGAGGCGGGGTCCAACCTGGACAGGTTGTCAGTCTGTCACGGGGTTGACATGTAGACAAACAACCACACACACTCACGCTCACTCCTACGGGCAATTTAGAATTACCAGTCAACCTAAGCTGCATGTCTTTGGACAGTGGGAGGAAGCCAGAGTACCCAGAGACAACCCACACAGGCACAGGGAGAACATGCAAACTCCACACAGAAAGGCTCCAGGTCGACTGGGACTCGAACCCGGAACATTCTTGCTGTGAGGCGACAGCACTGTATGTAAAACCATGTAGCTACTCTAATATTAAAGAGAAAGAAAGGAAGAAAAAGCAGGACAATACATTAACAGGCAGCATAGAGTGTGCTGGATATTTCAAAACAACAAAACTCTTGAATATTAAACATAAACAGCTGGAGGTCACTATGATAACTGCCTGAAACATAAAAATGCCACCGGTTTAAGTCTTCTAAATAAAGTTACATTACACCACAAACAACCTCCATTGTCAGGCCTGGGGTGAAATAATTCCTCGGTTTACAAGAAAGTGGAGCAGCATCTTTTGTCTCCATGGTTCAGGTGTCATGTGACAGTTCTCTGACAGCACCTCCCGTCCATTCACCCCCTCCCCCCATCTCCGTGTTCATACCCTCAGGAGGCATATCCATGTCGGCCTGCTGCACAGGTACGCCAGTAAACCAGGCCCGCAGCCTACTCTCCTGTCCTTTAAGGCTTAAGCAAAATATACAGCAGACCCATATTTGTATTAATATCAGCTCCTGGAGGTTTACAGTATCATCACATACACTTTGTGCGTGCAGTTCCAGCTCTAATTTCACATAAACTTGTAAACAAATATGGATGATACGGCAGACTCTCAGGTGTCACCTTGATGCAAACTCCCTCTGGCAGCAAACAAGTCGCTCTTTCTCCTCACTCCCTACCTCTCAGTGTGATCTATTAATAAGTGACAGCTGTTACGCCCTCTAGAGTAAAAAGTTCCTGCTCCTTCCTTTATGTGACTGTGTGTGTGTCCCTTGGTATACAAACCCAGCTCCACCCTGCCCTCCACCATAGTCACTGTGACAATGTTTAAACTGTGTCCAAATAGAGGTTGTGCAACCAATTCAAGTGGCACAAGCTAATTCGGAATTCACAAGCTCTTCAGTAGGTTCAGTGAAACGAAACTAAACAAAAATCTCTTTTCTCCAGGCAATGGCTGTTTGTCTTTGTGTGTTTTCTCCCTTTCTCATTTAGTTAAGTAATTTGGTCCTTTATTTCCCAGTTTTAGCAGAAAATGTGTGCATGTGTTAGGCCTGCAGAAGAAGCGTTCCTGTGTCTCACACATGTCTGTCGGTTTTGGTTGCTAATGCAGATCCCAGCCTGTGGTCTCCTGTCTGCAGTGCTTCACAGTGTATTTCATAAATGTAACTCTCTTTTTTTAAGTTTGTCCAGAGTCATATTTCTTTTCTTTGTGAGTAGCAAGTTTTTTTTCTTTTTTGATTTTTGAGTCTTCTCACAGACATGTCCAGGGTGCACCCCGCCTCTCGCCCAGTGTCGGGTGGGACTGGCTCCAGTGGTATAGATCCTGGATGGATGGGTTCTCCTCACATTGCCTGTGTTGAGCCTCCACCCAACTGCATTCCTGATCTGCTCATTCTGTGTGTAAGACTTAAATCTTTCTTATGTAAAGAAAATAAACAGCTGATTGATATTCTAGTTATGGACAGAATTACTTGTGCATTTGCATGTGTCCTCTCTGCACTACCTGCTTATTGAGGTGCAGGCAGTGGACATCAATACACCATTAACCTTGAGGGTGTTGAACAGTGAAGACGGGGAGAACTGGGCCGTGTCTCTGCACGAGTGTATAACTGGCTCTACGCTTTGCTCATTATGTGAACTCCTAAATCAACACTGTAGTAATAAGATAGACAGAAAATCTTTTATTTAGCTTTAAGCATGTGAACTACAGCAACCAATCCAATCACCAAGTCCACTTTATTGCAGGAGCCACACTTAGGACTCGGTGTGAAGCGACTCCTAATTAAACGGTTGAATCTATGATCTTCATATTCTTCATTTGCAGTGTTGTCTTTGAAATCTGAGACCAATGAGAACAAGCAGCCACTCCCTGAACACCAGCAGTCAGACCTGTCAAGGACCTGACAAGATGAGACAGCCCGCCCAACAGTGAAAAAAACAACACAAAATAATTAAACTGCTCCTCTGACAGGGTGTCGGAGAGCTGTCTGTACATGCAGTCTGAATCCATTTGAGTCAGCACAACATGCTAGCATCAAGAGGTAGCTGTCTGTCGCTCTGTATGTGTGAGAGTGTTTAGACCAGTGGGTTTGACTTGATAGTAGGATTAATAACTGGCATCTCTCCCCTGATGCCAGCCATTCATGGGTGTGTTCATGGGTGCGGAGCCTGTATTCACAAGGCGTTTCCCTCAGCTCACCTGTGGGTCGAAGTCAAGCTGCAGATGATCACAGGGTGTTGGAAGGTTATAACGGCTCAGGGAGGACACATACAGTCGCTTAGATTTTGTACTGTGTAAATATGTGTTTGCATTAAAGCATGCACATAATCCTGAGGCTGACTTTAAATGAGTACAGTAATGCTAGGTAGAAGCACTTTTAGAGACCCCAAGAGGTGAAAAAAAAGCCATGATTTCACAAGAATTAAAGATATAAACTATGTCATCATGACCCCTGACTTTTATCTTGAGAGGTTTGTGACCCCCAGGTTTTCAGGGACAGGTTAGGAGACACCGGGTCTCTGATCACAGACATGTAAAAGGCTCCAGGAGCAAGACCCACAGACTGAAAGAGAACTTTGGCTCTCTTTAGTCATTTTGCATCTCCCTCCAGCTGCAATGCATCTGTTTTTACTTATTTTGCATCTATTTGTTGTTGATTGACTTTCCAACAAGAAATGTTGAAGAAACTGCCAAAACTCTGCACAGCTGATTGTTTGATAGATGCGTCGGAGGAAGACAGCATCTTACAAAAACACAAAAGGCCTGATCGAACATCCAGCAGCAAAATGCCCATAGTCACTCTCCTTTTAGCTGTGGTTTGGGTTCTACTCTCAACTCCCAAGCAAACTCTGTCTCTTCAGCTGATAAATGTTTCACTTTCTTCACCAACTAGCCTCCAACTATTTGTCTGATGTGACGAGTCAGGCAGTCAGAGAAAGGAGTCCTTCCTTTTTGTGCACCCACTGAAGGTTACATCCAAATAGGACTTTTCTTGTATGAGGTAGAGGCAGAAGCAGAGTCTCAGAGGAGCTTTGGTATAGTTTTCAACTATATTTACTCGTTTGTTGAATTTTTAGCACTGGATCAAAAACCACTAGTGTTTCTGCTCCACAGTATATTAATTTCCTGCCCCTGACAAATAAGGGAGCTTCTGCACACAAATGCCAACATACTTACTGCCAGTCAGCCTTAGAAACTCATTAAAGTGTGCAAGCCTCATCCTGTCTGTAGTATTCAGGAATAAAAAGAGATGGGAGAGGGTGGGAACACCAGGACTACGCCTTGGATGCTCACTCTGAAAACGCTTATTCAATCAGAAGACAACACACCTACAGTAAATGGTGAATTCATCCATTTATTTTACTGTTGTGAAAGGCTTTTGTGCAGCATTTTACGCACGCAAATATGGCAACCTTTGTATTCCATCTGAATCTAGTGTTTTACCTGAGGCAGAGTTCACCCACTAAAACACACTCATGCAGTTTCAGAGTTCAGGTCAATATATATTGACGCCATAGCTGTCAGAGCTGCAAATGAGGACTTGGAGAGTAGTTTTTTAAAAAGAAAACCAGTAATGGAATGTTGCTTTGGCAAAAGATGTGTGTCGCTGAGTGTATGTACAGGCAAGGGCGTGCTCCTGAATGTTATTTGCCAGGGGGAATATCATGATGGTAAGGTGGAACATTTTCACCCTGAGAAAAATGTTCAGCAGTTTATTATGTCGATGAATCACTCACATAAGGCCGCAGAGCTGCTGGATTCCTCATCCCCAAAATATGACGGGCAAAATCTCTTCTGCACCCAGTCACCCACACCGAGTCTGCAATTATGCTTCAGCTAATGGAAGTCAACTGTCTGCAATAACTCATACGTAGCAAACAAACACTCTAAAACCTATATTCAGCTTTTCTTTCATTTCACTTGTACATCCTCACATGCTTAACTCACAATCCCACACACTTGCAAACATACACATGCTACATTCCTCAATAGCTACAGAGTTTGTTGGGTGATAGGTTGGTGTAGAGATACTCTTGCTGAACTGCTCGAACTCTTGGAAAACATTTTTACTACCAGTATTTCTGCATGTGGACTTAATGCTGGTAAAGTGTAAACCATTATCATTGCTGTTTGTGCAGTCTGAATGATTTGCTCTTCTTTCTTTCCTTAATCTTCTCCTGCTAGTCAGTGCTTTATTGTGCTGCACACAGACAGGTTAAGTACATCACAAAGCAGCAGCCACACAGGCATCGCTGTGAGGCTACTTAGGCACCGAGGTGCTAACATGCTCACAGTGTTAGTGCTGACATGCAGATGTTTGACAGGAAGGATGGTTGCATGCTAGTGAGCTCCAAACACAGTACAGATCATAAACCAGAGCTGGAAAAGATAACGGTGGTGGTGATGATGGCACTAGATGGAGAATTAGTGGATAATCAGATGTATTGTAGTCATTCTGAAGGGAACATGAGTGTCTTTAACAGAGTGAAGCAACAATTTGTTCAATAGTTGTTGAGATATTGTTAACCTCTTGGCAGAATTCATCCTTTGAGAACCACAACTGTCTGCCCA